CCCCGTCGCGCCATCACACCCTGAAATCCCTCCCCTTAATCACCCCCCACCCCCGCCAGCTCCCCAGCCATGGCCAGGTCGATTACGAGGGCCTGTTCTCTGCCTGGCTGCGATGTACATGATGCCAGTAAGAACATGCGAACGGCCAGGCTGGGTCAGACCAAAGGTCCATCCAGCCCAGGGTCCTGTCTGCCCATAGCGGCCAACACCAGATTCCCCAGAGGGAGTGACCAGAACAGGGAACCCTCACGTGATCCCTCCCCTGTCATCCATCTCCAGACAAACAGAGGCCAGGGACACCATTCCCAAGCATCCGAGCTAATAGCCATTGATGGACCTAACCGCCAGGAATTTATCTAGCTCTTTTTTTGAACCTTGTTAAAGCCCTGATCTTCACCACATCCTCTGGCGAGGAGTTCCACAGGTTGACTGTGCACTGCATGAAGAAAAACGTCCTTTGGTTTGTTTTAAACCTGCTCCTGATTCATTTCATTGGGTGACCCCTAGTTCTTATATTATGGGAACAAGTAAAGAACTTTTCCTTAGTCACTTTTTTCACACCTGTCATGATTTTATAGACCTCTGTCCTATCCCCCCTTAGTCTCCTCTTTTCTAAGCTGGAAAGACCCAGTCTTTTCATTCTCTCCTCATAGGGCAGCCGTTCCAAACCCCTCATCATTTTTGTTGCCTTTTTCGGAACCTTTCCCAGTGCCAAGGGAGTTTTTTTGAGGTTTTTTTGACCACATCTGTACTCAGTATTCAAGATATGGGCGCACCATGGCTTTATAGAGAGGCACTAAGATATTTTCTGTTTTATTCTCTATCCCTTTTTTAATGACTCCTAACACTGTTTGCTTTTTGGACTGTCACTGCACACGGAGTGGATGTTTTCAGAGAATTCTCCACAGTGACTCCAAGATCTCTCGCTGGAGTGCTACTAGCTAACCTCTAGGTACCCATCAAAACACAATCGGGCCATCTCCTCCTCTATCCCTAAGTTCCAGCCGAGCTCTGGGGATGAACCACCAGGTGAACGGGAAAAAAGCAGCATGTTCTGGACACAGCCGAGGGGACAGGGAGCAGAAAGGGGGAAAAATCCCCACACGGGAGCAGGTTCACAGGAAACTGCCGACAGCAGCAGAGACACGGCCGGGATGAACCTGGCCCACATTTCACTCAGGGACCTGAACGTGGAACAGCACGGGAAAGGGGGGGGATGTTCGCGGACCCTTTAGAAAATCCAGATCTGGATTTCCGTTCCACGGCGTGTGGAATTCCCCAGGAAAACAAGGGACCCTTTTCAGTTATGACATTTTTCCAGTTCACATGGGGAGGGGTCTTTTTCCTTGTTTCTTTCATTTGCCTCCCTCCCCCTTGCTTTTTTCTGCCCCCCTCTTTTTGCCGGGGAAAAGAAGAGGGAAAAAAGATCAACTGAAAAGCAAAGGAATAAACAAGCCAAAGGGCTAAAGTTCCCATTCGTCCGTTTCACTGGCTGACCGGAGGGAAATAAGGAAGTGCCAGCCTGGGAGGAGTTTGGAGCCATCCTGCCACGCCTGCACCCACTCACCTCTCTTGTACCTCTTCAGGGCCTTCTGACTCCTGTCCATCACTGCTTGCATGGCCTGACTCTCCGCCCGCTCCTCTTCCACCTGCCGGACGGACACGAGACTTTGCTTCTTGTCGGCACCACACTCTACCCCACTGGCTCCGGGCGCAGCTGGCGTGAGTGGATCCCGGGCGTGATCCCTCCCCTGCACCACTTGGGAGGTCCCGGGTGAGGACAGGTGGCTGTGCACCTCCTGTCCATCACTGCTTGCATGGCCTGACTCTCCGCCCGCTCCTCTTCCACCTGCCGGACGGACACGAGACTTTGCTTCTTGTCGGCACCACACTCTACCCCACTGGCTCCGGGCGCAGCTGGCGTGAGTGGATCCCGGGCGTGATCCCTCCCCTGCACCACTTGGGAGGTCCCGGGTGAGGACAGGTGGCTGTGCACCGAGG